AGTGTAGAGGGAGCTTTACTCTGTATCTAACCCCATGCTGTCCCTGTCCCTGGGAGTGTTTGATGGGAGGGGGGAACAGTGTTGTGTGGAAGCTATGTGCAGTTTCGTTGATAACTGTCTGGTCTGTCCATAGGGGGCCATGGCCTGTGTCTATCTCTGTGTTGAGGACATCTTTCAACTCATTAATTACTACAGCTTCAGCTACTGGCTGTTTGTAGGTCTGTCTATCGCAGGGCAGCTGTACCTTCGTTGGAAACAGCCAGATCGTCCCAGACCACTCAAGGTACTTTGGAGGGATTTGCAAGCCAAGTCTCTGACTATGCTCCCGCGCTGAGCTCCCCATCTTCCAATCTGCCCACACTCCGAGTTAAACAAAATTCCTTCTCTCACTCCCAAAAGGACAGAAACAAACGCAAAGGTACAGAATTATGGCGATGGGGCCGATAGAGAGTCGTAGAGTCTTACAGAACAGAAACAGACCAACCAGTCCATCATTCCAAACTAACCCAGTCCCACCTGCCTGCTCCTGGCCCATATCCCTCCAAACCTTTCCCATTCGTGTCCTTATCCAAATGTCTTTTAAACACTGTAACTGTACCCACACCCACCCACTCCTTCTGGAAGCTCATTCCACACACGAACCACTCTCTGTGTTAAAAAACTTGCCCCTTGTGTCCTTTTTAAATCCTTCTCTTCTCACCTTAAAAATATAGCCCTAGTTTTGAAATCCCTGACCCTAGGGAAAAGACCTTATCTATGCACCTCATGATTTTACAAACCTTTATAAGGGTCACCGCTCAGCTTCCTACGCTCCAGTGAAAAGTGTCCCAGCCTATCCAGCTTCTCCTTATAACTTAATCCCTCCATTCCAAGCAACATCCTGGTAAATCTCTCCTGAACCCTCTGTGGTTTAATCATATCCTTCCTGTAGCAGGGAGAACCAGAATGGGACACAGTTCTCCAGAAGAGGCCTCACCAACGTCCCTGTACAACCTCAACATAATGTCCCCAACTCCGATACTCAAAGGGTCTGAGCAACGAAGGCCAAACGCTGCCTTACCCACCCTGTCTACCTGTCTTACCAACTTCAGGAAATGATGTACCTGAACCACAAGGTCCCTCTGCCCTACAGCACTACCCAGGGCCCCGCCATTAACTGTATAAAGCCCTGCCCTTGTCTGTTTTACCAAAATGCAACACCTCGCATTTCTCCAAATTAATCTCCGTCTGCCACTCCTTGGCCCATTGACCCAATCGATCGAGATCTCGTTGTCATCTTAGATAACAAGAGAATTCAAGTCAAGGGGCAGGGATTGGACACGGTGAGACCACTCCTGGAGGATAGTGTGTGTGCTTTAGGATCTCCTTATGTGAGCAAGGATGGTTCTGGTTACAGAGGGAGTGCAGCGGAGACTGACTCCTGGGATGGCAGGATAGAGAGAGAGACCAGATTGGGTTAGGAACAAAGACACTGGGAGTTTAGAAGGATGGGAAATGTATAAAATTCTGACAGGATTAGACAGGGTCAGCGCAGTAAGGATGTTCCTGATGACCGGGGAGTCGGTGGGGGTGCGGAGTAAGGAAACAGGGTGGGGGATCACAGTCTAAGGGAGATCGGCATAGGGCTGAGATGAGGAGAAATGGCTTCACCCAGAGAGACGGTGAGCCTGTGGGATTTTCTTTTGCAGAAAGTGGTCGGGGAATGTTCTCAAGAAGGAGACAGGTATCGCTCATAAGAATAAGGTTAGAAACGTGGAACAGGGGATTGTGCTGGATGACCAGCCATGGTCATTTTGGATGGGAGAGCAGGCGCTGAGGGCCGAAGGGCCTATTCCTGCCCCCGTTTTCTCCTCCGTTTCTGTATTTCCTAACCCCCCCTGACTCTTCCCTTTGGTTCGCTCCCACAGCTCAGCATCTTCTTTCCCATTGTGTTCTGCTTGTGCACCATCTTCCTGGTGGCAGTGCCACTGTACAGTGACACCATCAACTCCCTCATCGGCGTGGCCATTGCCCTGTCCGGAGTGCCCTTCTACCTGCTCGGGGTACACCTGCCAGAATACAAGAGGCCGCAGTGTCTGCGCACACTCTTAGGTAAGAGATAGGTCAACGGGTCCCTAAGCCAGCAGGATCCATTGGGAATGTGGAGAGTGGGGGTGAATGGGAAGGGGTTTGGGTCCATTGGGAATGTGGAGAGTGGGGGTGAATGGGAAGGGGTTTGGGT